GGCAGGCATCACCCCCGCGGGGGCCCCAAGCCCGAGCAGCCCCCCGGGGATGGGGAGGCTGCGCTGCACCGGGAGGAGACCAGCACCTTGGTGGAGAACTGCAGCAGCTCCAACGGAGTCAGCCAGGAGAAGCTGGGTAAGTCTTGCAGTGCCTTCTGTCCCATCGCAGCACAGAGGTGTTCAGACAAGCGAGAGGTCCCTTCCCTGGGGACGGTGTTCGCACCTGGGGCGAGCTCCATGAGGACCGCCCATCCTTCCTCCTCTGGAAGAGGCAAGAAACTTTCTTAGCGGTGCTCTTGAGCAACAGCACCTCTACCTCGCACCTTTCTTTCAGGTGCTAAAAGATGTGCCCTAAGTTGTGCCTTTGTTTTGCAGGCAGGTCAGAGCGTGGAAGAGTCTTAGGGTAAAGCAGTTTGGCTTGGAAGAAGTTGGTGCTGGTAGAGAAGGCACATGACAAGTGTTTTTTGCCTAGCGACACAAGCTGTCACAAGACATTGCCCTGATGCCTTCTGAACTGGCTGCACATCAAATAGGGCACAGCACAACACCTTGGGCCCGACAGCTGGGTCTCTCTCTCCCATGGGTTGGTTTTTTGCTACCTGAGAAGCTAATCTCAATCCGAACATAACATACTGAAGTATATTCCGTTGCAGTAATGATGTACTTCTTCATGACATCTGTATCAGTCAGGAGAAGTCTTGGAAATTACCAGTGGGAGCTGTGCAAGTCATGCAATAGGCTCTGAACATGGAGCTCACCAGTGTCAGGGTACATGGGAGGTTTCTTTCAATTATTTTTTCTTCAGATTTCTAAAGCAGGCACCTTCCCACTCAGTTGCACGTAGAGATAAATTTAAAATCTCCCCTTCCCAGTTGTGATCAAGCTGTCTGTTCTGTGGGAGGGAATTTCTCGGGTTGTTTTTTTTTCACAGATCCAGAAGCCTAGATAGTTTGTTTTGAAGTCACTTGGCCGAAGCCACATACCGTGTGCTAGCAGAGTGAAAGGTGCTTAATTGTCCTTTCCCCACGTATAATATGGCATCCCAGTTACCAGGAGGAAGGGGTGTCAGTCTGCAGAACCCATGGCTCTCCTTTATATTCGGGGTGACGGCAGGAGACAGCTGTTTTCGCTTAAATTGAGCATTAATTGAGCAGAGTGAACTTTGCTACAGTTTCTCTTTTTCTGTGGTCTTCGGTTCCAATTCACATTGGAGAAACTTAGCAGTTTCTCTTTCTCCCATGTGTTTTGACTCCATGTTGGTTTTGAAAAGACGGGTTGTGCAAGAGGATAGGAAAGTGCCTCTGAATATAGTACACCATTTTCTTGACCACATAATAAGCTTTTAATGTTGGTTTAGAGGCAACAAAGGTATCCTAATAATTAGTTTTAAACAATGTAAAATTCCCATAACCATTGAGCAGATAGATATCTTGGCTTGTGTATTGTGCTTGCACAGTGAAACATGGTGAAAAGTGCTTTTGGTCAAGTTTTGGACTTCTTCTAAGCTAAAAAAATTAATTTACAGCATGGATTAAAATGCATGCTATTTTGAGTTAACTTGTTTGGAATTTTTCACGGATGTCCTTCTGGCAATAACAAATAATTTGTTGTGGGTATTTAGGTGGTAATGGGGCATAATTTTGGTCACAGTGAAACTCTGAAATAAGTTTGTATTTCCTTCTGTGCCCTGCCATGATTATGTAATGGATGGAGTTATTCATAGTTTGCCCATGCAAATGTTAACAGGTAAAAGTGCTTGGAGAGTCGGGAAGAGCTGTAAGATGTGTAGGTGAAGAGTAGGGAAATGACTGAGAATGGTACTTTGCCTCCACTGGAATTACACAAAGGGGACCCTGATTTTCTAAAGTGGAAAGCTAGCAATAGCCTTAGGGGTAGTCTGGCACAGGTATCTTTGGGCATATACTTCACATAAAGTAATCAGTTTATGGTTAGATTTAAATGAGCATATCTCAAATTGACATGTTTTTATGTTTTGCCATTAAAAAAAAATTTATTAGGAGCTTTTTTGGAACCATGTTTCCTGTTAACCACCCTGACAGATAGGGCTACTGATTTTTCAAATCCTGTCTTCTCTGGGTACTTGGTACGCAACACTCTTAGAAAAGTTCCTCTTTCCTTGCTTTTGGTGTGGATCTTGAGGTCTGAACTCTGTAACCTGAGATATTTTCTTCTCATTGCTTGATTTCTCTGGAAAGTTACACATCCCATACTCTAGAACTCCTAGAAGCTGTGTGGAAAATGCAGCTGGAGCTTTAGGACATGAGCGTGATTCACGAGGTTATTAGCCTGGGGCTTGGAACTGACACGCTGAGCTGCCTTCAGAGGAGACCCCACCCCCTCTTCAGAGGGAAAAGAACTTGTAGACACTTTATGGTTACAGAACCACAGCCAGGAGAGCAGAGTGGCAGAAGCTGTGGGTCATACTAACATGTTAATGTTTACAAAGCTCTGAACTGAATAACCACAGAAGCAGCAAGATCTCGTTTCAGTTTATCAGGCCAGTGGCCAGTGTGTGTTACATTTCGTTAACACTGGAAGTTTTCTGTCCAAAGAACTCTTGAAGAAAAATAGGTTAATAATGTGAAATGCTTTCAATTTTGAACAATAAAGAATGCTTTTCTTTCAAAAAGCCATACTTTGTAATGATCTGTGCATTTATTCTTACACAGCTAGTTATATTTTGGTAATATCACAGACAGCTTTGATAAAGGAGGACACTAAAATGTTCATTTATACATTGCATGGTTCATGACATACAGCTTTGGGCATCAGTGGGTGTATTTCACTCAACAGCTGTATGTCACTTAAAAAAAAAAAGTACTAAGAAGACTGGTTTTATGTATTCTGAAGTAAAAAATAACAGTAGTTCATAGCCTTTGAAAGCTTTGGTGATAACTTATACTGTCCTATAGTCAATACAGCTGATAAATTCTGTGTTTTAGACCTCAAAACTCAGCTCATTGTATCTCACAGTTCTGCTGGCTTCATGCACCATCTCAGAAAAACTTCCTTTTCCTTGAATTCAGAAGTCTATTGGAAATTAACTACTAAGCCTGAGAAAAAGTTTCTATAAAGCAATAGCCTTTATGCTTTTGAGATTATGGCCTCATAAATTGCAATATAAAACAGCAATGCAGTCCTATGGTTTAAGAGAGATTTTAGCGATGTTATTAGCCTTCTGTTTTTTCAGAAGAGGGAACAAATGTAAGTTACGTAGCTACTTAATCAGCTTTTTATATGCACTCCATAATTCTTCTTTTTGTTTAAGGAATGACCAGTGAGTAGTCAAATGGTTGAAGAGCAGGGAAATGTGAAAGCACTTTTTCTGTAGAATAAATTAAAATGTGGTCATCTTCATACTTCATCACTCTACACCTTTAAGCTCCATGTAGAAGCAATTATCTTCTAGAGTATGTAGATCACTTATTGGGACAACTGAGTATTTCTCAGCCAGAGAAAATGTTGCTGAGTGTTATGGGTAGAGTTGCTCGCTTTTCGGTTTTGTACTCAATGAGGGAAGCTCAATGGTTGGTCAGCTATTTTATATGGCATTATTGTACATTATTGTATGGCATTGTGTGTAGTATTATAGCATATGCCTAATCATTGTACTGTTTTCTTGTCAGGTGATACAAAAGACGACATGACTGACCTACAAGTGAATGGGAACGCTGGTCATTATCCTCTGGATGTAGAGGAGGCAGAAGAAGACTCTAGCGCGCAACTCAACATGCGTGGAGTTTTTCTGCATGTTTTTGGTGATGCCTTAGGTTCAGTAATTGTGGTAGTGAATGCCTTGCTCTTTTATGGATTGTGGAATCCATGTGTCAAAGATAAGGCCTGCTTTAATCCATGTGTCAATAACCATTGCATGGAAAATGTTACTTTCTCCCAAGCACTTGGCAGAGCAAACACGTCTGAGCAAGAGAGCATTACAGTGGCTGGTCCGTGCTGGTTGCTGTACTTAGATCCCATCCTTTGCTTGATCATGGTCTGTATACTTCTTTACACAACTTACCCATTACTTAGGGAGTCAGCCCTTATACTTCTACAGACTGTTCCCAAGCAAATAGATGTTCATTCTTTGAACTCAAAATTGCGCACCCTCGAAGGAGTCGAAGCGATCCACGAGTTACACATTTGGCAGCTGGCAGGCAGTAGGATCATTGGCACTGCTCACATAAAGTGTCCTGACCCTTCCACATACATGATGGTGGCAAAGCGAATAAAAGAGATCTTTCATGACGAAGGGATTCATGCAACTACCATTCAGCCCGAGTTTGCCAGCGTTGGCTCTGAATCAGGGAGAGGGAAATGCGAGTTTCCTTGCAGGACTCAGTGTGCTTTGAAGCAGTGTTGCGGAACAGGAGAAGATAGTACTGCAAAGAAGACAGAAAAATCTTCGTCATTTAGTATTTCTTGTTCAGAAGTTGTCATTGAATTTCCGAAAACTAGAAGGACTAAGTCAGAGAGCATCCCTTCAGTCAAGCTAGAGGCAGAAACCGACCAAAACGAGCAGTTTGAATCATCTTTGTAACTCCTCGAATGGTGCTACCTGAGTTTTGGTGACTTTGACAACAGCTGTGTTGCAAGAGGAACAGACAGACTTTTCAGATGCAATTTTGCCAAGTAGTGTAATTGCTGAAGCCCTTGTTGTTGTCATTTTGCTACATCTAGATGCTCGTTTTAAAGAATGATGTCACTGTCATGATACAATGTGTTTGCATTGACTTTTTTCTGACAGACAGAAAGTGCACCAATGCTGTAACAACTCGAGAAAACCAGTTTCAGCATTTCAGCAGAGACGCTGCTGCTGCTGTCCTTTGAATGAAAATATTTTTTCCAGTGAAAAGGTATTTGAGGGACAAGCATGTAGAAACTCAATTTACGTTACAGATTTCTCTTACCTGCTCTTTCCTTTGATATTTGATTTGTAGATATTTTAATATATTGTTTATTTAGAAGCCCTAAGGAAACCAAAGTTCATAGAATGTTTTTAAAGATAGAACTACTTAAAACTGGAAACCACTTGGCAATTTCACGTTTTTCTTAAAACTATATAGTAATAAATGTGAACGCTTTTCTAATTATTTTCTCATATAGCGCATCTTAAAGAGAACAAAACATGATTGTTAGAAACTGTCCCCCCTTTTTCTGGTAAGGTAGTGAGGTAATTAAAATCAACTGCTTGTGAAAACATCAGATGTGAAAGGGTTTTTTTTTCTTTCTATCAGAATGGAAGTTCAAGCTCTTCTGTATAGTGCTTTGTGATCAAGACGTGAGACTGACCGATAAAGTAATGCATACCTTCATATTTAATGGATTTTTTGTTTTTTCTTCTGTATTTCCAAGCAGTGTCTGGTCACAAAAGTCTTCAAAGTTTAAAGAATCCTTAACTCACAGTTCTGTGAATGAAGAGCTGGAGCTTCACTTTTAACTCCTGCTCAGTTTACCAAGATAAATGAATTAGTTATGTTAGTAAGTGCTCTGTCAGGGAAAGCCTGCCAAGCACTGACAGTATAATTCATACTTTTTAAGCATAGACAGTAGCCTCCATGGTGCATTTTGCTTGTGGTTTACTGTGCCTGCAAGCACTTGCAGTGACTGCAGTCCTGGTTCCCACCGTGTCCTCAGGAGCCTTCCACTGACTTTTGAGGAAGTGGAGCAAGGAGTAGGATTTCATTCACTGTATTTCACACTTGTAAGATATTTATGTCTCAGAATTTCGCTTATTAAGTGTCTGAGTCTATGATTAAGAATGTTAGCTCAGTTAATTGACAACTGGCTCTAAAGAAGCTGTTACAGTATGCTGCCAACTTGCACCTTAACAAAGGAGAAACTGGTCTATGGACTGAATTTGGCAGAGACTAGGTGAGAGTTGAAGATAAAATGTACAAGAAATCTAACTGAAAACCCTGACCCTTTCAATCCACCCTCAAGTTACATATGGGAAGTAACATCTTGTGATTTAATTGACTGCTCCTGTGCTCAAAACTGGAAAGCAACTCAGATCTTCCAAATGTTTGCTCTGTGACTCTGGACATGATAAACACTCTGCCTCAGTTTCCCTGTCTTAAAATAGGGATAATACCTACCTCACAGGGGTGTTGTGAGGCTTAATTCTTGCGTGAGGAGCTCTGAGGTCTGTTACTGGAAGGCACTAGAAGGAGTGTAAGATACTAAATTACACAGTATTTACTCCTTCTACAAACGTATTGCAATACTTAGGCACAGCAGAGGGAAATGAGGATAGTTTTGGCCTTATGAAATTCTTTGATGCCGTGGTTTTCAGGTTTTTAACAGTATTTAAATGTAGATTTTTTTAAGAAGAATGTTTTGTTAGTGAAGGCAACATAGCTTTGCCTCCAGATACAGAACACCTCCCTAGTTTGCATTTCTAAAACGTGTCTATTAATGATAATTGCACCTAAGTAGTTCAAAATAGTCTGCTGCTTGTCAGACCTGGATTAGCCCAGGTCATGTCAGTGGTCTTAGCCAAACTCTCAGCAGAGAATTGCAGTCAACTCTCGATTATCCAGGGGTGGATTACCAGTGTTGTGTGTTAACCAAGCAGTCTACAGGGCCAGACAAGCTCTGTAGCGTGTGCCAGTGCCTTGGCCAAATGCTGTGTGCCAAAGCACTGGAGAAGGAGAGGAGCTCAGTCAGTTTTGCACAAGCCCACTCTCACAGGGTTTGTTAGCTTGGGTGCAGTGCAGCACCCAGCAGTTACTTTGCCTCTTGGCTGCTCAGATGCATCCACAGGAGCTGCGGTGTGTGGGTGGGTCTGTTCATCTTCCCGCTACCTTGGGGATGTCGGTGCTGTGCAGCCATCAGCATTACTCACCTTTTCTGTGTTTATGCTTGTTGTATAGTTTCATACACTAACTTAAATATGTTAATATAGTATTTATATATGTTTTTGTTTTGTTTGAATTATCTTAACTCTTTTTTCTGTTACCTGTATATGATCTAGAGTTGACTGTTAAATGAGATCTTGTATGAGACTACATTTGCAGAATATGCTGCCACTGCTAGTATACTACAAAGTATTAACCAAGTAAATTTTGAAATGAACAAAGTACTATTTTTTTGGAAATGTGTATCCTTTTTATGGTAAACTTTCACTAAGTATTTTCCTCACTAGTTTAAAATTGGTCTTGGTCATTAGTATGAATTACTTAGGTGCTGCCATATATCGCTGATGCGCCATAGAACTACTGCTCTTTAGTTTATTTAAAAAAACAACAACAAAAACAACCCCAAAACAAACCATTAGCGCTGAGAAGCCTGCCATCATTCTCTCCTGTTGCTCTTATAAAAAGAGAGCAGCTCTTAAATCTTGACAGCTGCCACCATTGCTTAACAGTCTCAGTAAATGCACCTGAGTAGATGGAGCTGTAGTCACTAATGCCATTGTAACTATTGAATCCTTTTTTGTGTGCCAGAAGTCATATTTTTCTATTTCTGTGTCCATTGCAGGCAATGGCTAGGTTAAATACAAAAAAGCTCTCCCCCCACATTATTTTTATTATCAGGACAGGATGCAGATGTGACGATGATGACGATGGGGGCAGAAGGGGGAGTTGCATGGCCTCTCTTGTCATATGCCATGTTGCATGTGCAGCACCAGCTGGTGTTAACAAGGCTCTTGAGTCTCTTTAGCCCTCAACAGTAAATTCCATGAAATATATAGAGAGAGTCAGGTCAAGGTGGTGGTTGTACAGCAGCAGGAACACAATTTTTGTGTTTGTTCTGGCTGTATGAGAACTGACTGTAGCCTGCTAGCTTGCAATATAGCTTGATTTTGGGTTTTGTTTTTTTTATCTGTCTGTGGTTACACAGGCCTGTTTTTTTCTGAAGATCACCATTCCAGAATACTGGGAGCATTCAAAAACACTGCACAGTCTCCTTTGCTTTTTTTTTTTTTCCCCACAACGCATGAAACTTGTGAATCTCATGTAAGTGACCACTGCAGTGATGGGGAGCTAATTGTATTGTGTATCACATTCCTGAATTTTTAAAATAAAAAAATATGGAACTTTGATTTTAAGGATAAATAAGTTTGTATTTCAGTGTTTTTACTTCCGATTAAATATGTCAGAGATGTACCGAAGACTGGGTGAAGTATTTTACACTTAGTATGTCTCATCCAGAAACATACTATTTTATAATCACTTTTTAGATTGTATCTGCAACTTAGGGTGCAGTGCAGAACTAATTCAGATACTCAGTGGGCCAGCCACAGTACCACAGGGCTTTTCCTTCTTAGCAGAATGAGCGGCTTCTGTGGAACCCCGTAAAATTTTAGCTCGATTACTTTCAACATCCATTCTAGACTTTTGGTAATATCTGTTACTGCTGCATCATGGTATTCGGTGTGGACAGACATAGTTATGCAAAAGACAGAACTTGCCCCAACTTACTACTCCCCAAAAGTCATGGCAAGGGCCCAGTTCTGTGAACTTCTGTACTCGTTAATAGTTTCATTGGGCTAACGAGTAATTACTTGCATGCAAGGAATTACTTGTGGGAGTGAGTCCAAAGCTTCTGCCAGTACAGCCTGGCTTTTGAAGAACAACTGGAGTTACCTAGATTTGATGGGTGTATTAAATCAGGAGTACTGTGGTGTTTCTAAATTTGCTGCAGAAATACTGCAAGTTCGTTATAATCTTAATTCCAGGATTTACTCCTTTTCCCCATTCTCAAAAAAAACCCCAAAACCAACAAACAACCCACTGAGTGTCCTAAGACTTGTTACTGAGTTTAGCTAAACTTCACATTGTTGCTGTTTGCTCCTGAAATTGGGCCATCTGACTTTATTAAACACTGCCTAGTGGAGTTTGAGAAGGAGGGATAAAGATTCTTGCCATTCTCCTTCCCCTACCCCCCACTTTGACTGCACTTTTTAATCTCTTCAGTTCTGGAGTACTGGGGGGCTGGGGGGCAGCAGGGGTGAATTTTGTAGCTAGATGTTCAGAGTTCCACATGGAGGGAATGGGAAATACAGCTAACTATATTTAAAAGTGTATAAATACGCTCTGACTATTTTAGTTTCATAGCATAGCATCAGTTACACCCTTCTTAGATACTCGTTTAAGTTGTTCAGCACTGCAGTAACTTCAGCTTTTTCCTACTCTGCTGGACAAGAGGTGGATGCGCCATTTGCCTGAGCTAAAGCCAGTCTTGACAGTATTCCAAATCAAACATAGCTTTGCTGATAACAGGAGGCCTGATTATGCCTTATGACCTTTACTTTGTGTAGTTAGCTGCCTGTGAGGTACAGTACCGTGTTTCAGCATGCTTACATTTTAAAATTTATTTATTTTTCATTCACCCTGTTTTCTAAGTAGTTGCCAATATTAAAAAATACCTTTTATCTATATGTGTCCAAAAACACATGGGATTAATCTGGCTTCTTTTTTTTTCATGTCCTGAATCCTGCTTCTGAGCTATGTTGAAATACAATTGGCATAGCTATTGCTCCTCAATGATATTTCTTTTTGCTTTCTTTTCAAATAAATACTAATGTGTTGGTTGGTTGGTTTGGGTTGGGTTTTTATTTGGTTGGTTGGTTGGTTTTGGTTTTTTTAGGTATTAAATTCTCAAGAAAATAAATGGACCTCTTGAATGTTAAATACTTTTACTTGGGATTTCTTTCGCAGGTCAGTTCCTAGGAAGACATTTGCCTAGTAGAAATGCACTTTCACCATCTCCCAGAACCTCAGGAACAAGTACAAAGAGCACAAGTAGAAAGGGGAGGTTAATAAACAGGTTGTAAATGGATGGCCTCCAACTGTCTGGACTCCAGGTGCAAGTAAAATATAGTTGCTCAGTTCTAGTATCATGTGAAGAGTTAATTATGCAAAATGCAGGGTTTTTTCCTAAGAAAAGCAGCCTTTGGAAAGAATAAAAAAGGAAATTTTCCTGTCAGTTGGCCGTGGTTAAATATCTAATATACAGGTCAATAAGATATGCTTCCTAATAGACATCTGTACTGCTTTGTTTGATGTCAAAGGCTTTGGAAGATAGCTATTTGAGAGCAGCAGATGCTTTGGTGTTTTTCAGCTTCATTTGTTTCAATTCAGAAACTCTGCAGTTCAGAAAGTTTCTTGGGAGGAAAGTCCTGACTGCAGAAAGAGAGACAGCTGCCAGCAACAACACTGGAGAGGGCAGGATGGTTACTAATATCTGCCCTGAGCTGTTAGGACCTTGCCATGATGTGTTCGTTTTGGAGCCCTTAACTGCTGCAGCTTCAGCAGATGCTCTTTTCTGCTTCAGGAGTGGAAAGTGGTTTCATGCTTTTATGTGAA